AAGCCAATGCGGGGACGCCGTTTTGACACGATTGAGGAGATAAAAACCGAATCGAAGAAGGTCTTGAAGGCTATACCGGAAAAAGACTATTCCGACTGTTTCGAGGACTGGAAAAAGCGTCGGAAACAGTGCGTTTTATCGGACGGGGATTACTTTGAAGGGGATGAAATTGATTTGGAAGAATAAATAAAGAATTTACATTTTATAAACAAATTCACCTTACTTTTTGATCACAGTAGTATGTCACTTCGAGACAGGAAAATGTAATGGCACCCTAACTGGTCGTCTACGCATTTCCCTGCAGAACAATGCACAGTCGCTGTTACTTACTCTTGAAGTTCTCTGATTTGTCTCTCTTTCGTGTTCTGTTCTTCCTGCGTCATCTGCATCAGCTGCAGTAGCCTCTCGGTCTCGGCGGAGCTTCTGGTAGACTCCTCCTTTGCTTTGTCCAACTCTTTCTCCGCTGTCTCGAGGGCCTTCTGCATTTCCGTCAACCTCTTGTCCGGCGACCCACCGCTCTACAAAAATCAAGTCGAAGGTTATTATTATCTCATCGTCGCTCTTCAACTTTGACTAGTCGCTAACAGAGGCGTGACAAATTATTTGAAAAATTAAAAACAGTAACTGCTAACATAGTTCTCTTGTCGGGAGGCCTTTCCCGGATCTCCTGCCATAATTATAACTTTGCAAATATACAGTGGTCCACGAAAGTATTCGTACACCTTTTAAAACTGAACTAAATGAGTTGTATTTTTTTCAGATGATAAAGACGTCTACTAGACGATTACTGAAATGCTTTTTTTTAAATTTTGCTATTACTTGAAATGAGAAAAAAAAAGAAAAATCTCTCGATTTTTATCTTTTTTATCTGAGCCTATAACGAAAATTTAAATAATGTCTTTCGTAGATCTCGGCAACTTTGTTGAAAATTTCATCGAAATCGGTTCACGAGTTACAACAAATTGAAGATTGCAAAAATCGCGGTTTTATCACGATTTTGACAAAAATTGGATGAAATCTGCAGTTTTTTAAATTCTTCATCCCCTGTAGCTCGACTCGGGGTTAACCGGGAGTAGTAAGTTACCGAGATCTACAAAAGGCATCTTCTAAAATGTTCATTACAGGCTCAGATAAAAAAGTTAAAAAGCGAGTCATTATTCCCTTTTTGTCAACCCAAGTAACAGTAAAATTAAAAAGACGCACTTCAATCATCGTCATAGTCCCTCCATCATCTAAAAAAATCCAAGTCATTTAGTTCAGTTTAAAAAAGTAATTGCGTCTTAAAAGGTGTACGACCACTTTTCTGGACCACCGTGTGTCAACAAATATGCCCCATCGGATATCGGCACAATATCGAATTGCCAGCCATCATCCAGGCCTTGACCGTGTCATAAATAAACTGAGAACAGGGTAGCGTCGGTCTATCCGTCCTCGTTTTATAAACAAGCCGTCGCTAACAGATGTCTCCACAAAATTGCCCCAATGATTTTCATCGTCGACGGAGTATTAGTTAGCGAAGTTTATCGTTCAAAGAGGTCCCTCTGAAAACTTCGAAGTGGACGCGCAGAGTCCGCAAGTAGGAATCCCCTTCGGATGGTCCTAGAGCAGTGAACACAAAACCGATGCTCACCCTCTGTAACTGCTGCTCGAGCTGATCCATCTTCGCTTTCCGTTTCTTCAGGTCCTGGTCGAGACTTTGGAGCGTCCTCTCCTTCTCCTCTACTGTTCTAGCTTTCTGATCGACGGATTTGGCTCGATCCTCCGTCTGCCTTCTCTGCTCTTCCAATTGGCGTTTCTGTTCGTCTAGATGTCGCCTCTCTTGGGTAGTATCGGGACCAGGTTTCCCGCCGCCAGCTTGGAGTTTCTTGGTTGCCTGATGCAAGTTCACCTGCCGAAGTCGAAACCAAAATCGTTGTGAATAGAGAGCCCGGCACGGCGATCAGCTACTGGCTAGGCGAATTTTGTTAAGAAAGCCGCGACCATTCCGCGCGTTAAGTTCGCGAGTTGCTAGGGGTTCGCGAGGCTTCCGGGTAAAAACTGTCGCGCGTCAGCTTGCGCGACACGATGTACACAAAATATTCGTTTGCTCGCGACGAGTCGCGATCGTTACGGCGCGCGACCGCAAGATCCGACGGATGGAGCGACACGCGATGGAAAACGAGTCGCACGCACGGACGAGGAGAATGCTCTCCCGCAGTTTTTGCCACGGCGAACTATATATGTACAAATACATACAGAAAGGATACGATGAGAGGAAAGCGGTGTTCGCGCGCCGCTGGCGTCTTTCCTATCGACTGTTCCATAACAACGTTCAGTCGCGTGTCGAATGTTTCGATCAACGGAATCGGTCCAACCGGAAATGCTATATCAACGATCGACGGAAGGTGGTGTCAGCGGCGCGCGGACACGCGTTCTCTCGCACCGTATGCTTGGAGATAAAAAAAAGATAAAACTGTACAAGATGTAACAAGATGCAATCGATGAATGGCTGGTGAACGGCCAATTTGCGAACGGAACAATCATGTTCTATCTCCTGGCATCGGCACACGGTGCATGCTCGTCCAAATGGGACGCCAGAGGATGAACGGAAAATATGCTCGTATAAGAACTCCGATCGCCTCGTCGGGCGCGCAACAGAACAATATAGCGATAACAGTAAACGTGTACGTAATACGTTCGCGCGACGCGGGGGACGACACGGTCGCGACCCTTCGATTCTCTCGTTGGGACGAGAATATATCGTCAGCAGCCTGGACTGTGCTGCAACGGGAAGGAGAGGTCCCGATCCCGGTCGGTGAACACGTTCGTCGCCCCGCCGTCGCGGACGGCAATAACAAACAACAATAAACATAACAGAAGTAGAGGAACGGCGTAACATAGTCGAAGAAAGAAACGAACGTAAAATATGTATATAGAGCAAATGAGCGCGAAATGGCTGTGCTTGAGTCGCAATGGCTGGGATCGGGGGAGTGATGGTCTTTGAACTTTGGAGGATGAATAATAAATGGTGAAGGCGATGTTGCTTCGCTGTGAAGTGTGACGGACGCCCCGAGATTATACATGTACGCAACACAAAGATGAGAATGATGTGCGGGGTGCATCGTATCCGGTTGAACATCTGTATACGTATGTATATATACATGATCGCTCGATCAGTTCTAGATCTCTATTTCGGTATATATATAATGTACGTATATATATATATTTATAATTTTTATATATTTTTTTTTTTTTTTTGCGGCGTGTTATGAGCTGTGGGCGAGATTCTGCTTCGTCGACGACGAAGGCAGAGGCTGCGGTTGAAATGGGAAGACATAGAGAGACTTGAGAGGCCGCGCGGCTCTGTGTCGGCAGCCGGTCGACAACTATTATTATGTCGGCCGAAGGCAAAGCAACGATTGTTTGCCGGGCGACAGAGTGCAGACAGAGTGCGGGTGTAGGCGATGTGTTGTGGGTGAGCGCGAGCGAGTGCAGGTCGGTGCTGCTAACCTGAGATTTCTCGAGTTCCTCGCACAGCTTTTCGATCTGCGACTGAATCCGCTCGCGCTCGACAGTCTGCTCGGCGGTCTCCTTTCGCGCGCGTTCAAGCTCCTTTCGCAGCTTGGCGACCTCCTGGCCGTTCTGCTGTGACGGTTGCTGCTGCTGCTGCTGTTGCTGCTGCTGTAGCTGCTGAATGGTCTGCTGCATCTGCTGGATCTGCTGTTGCTGCGCGTGCAGCTGCCTCTCGGTCGTCTGGATTCGCTTTTGCAGCTCGGCCGCCTGTCGCTCGGCCGCGTCCGCCCGCTGCCTCTCCGTCTCGCAGACCTTCCGCCATTGCTCGAGCTGCGCCTCGCTTCCGCCGACCGACGTGTCCCTCGAGGCGATCTGCTTGTTCAGCTCCTGCACCCGTTTCTCGGCCTGCTCGGCTCTCTGCCGTTCCTTGGTCTGTGCCTGCGTCAGGTTCTGGACCTGCTGCGTCAGCCGGTGCACCTCCCGCATCTGAGCCTCTAGGGCCTCCTTCGCGGCTCTGTCCGGCGTCTGGGCGTGCGCCCTCTGCTGCTGAAGCTGCTGCAGCCGTCGCACCTCCTCGCGCTGACGCTCCAGCTCGGCCTCGTTCGCGTTCAACTCCTGCTGGAAGTTGACCAGCATCTCCTGCGACTTCTCGAGCTGTATCACCAGCTGATCCCGTTCCACCTGCAGCTGCTTCGCCTCCGCCTCGAGCTTCTCTTTCACCTTCTCGATCTTCTCCCAGTGTTTCTCCCGGTTCTCTAGGATCGCCGCGTTCTTGTCTCGATCTCGCATCGCGATCTGAAGCTCGTGCTGCAGCCGGGCCATCTCCTCGTTGCCCACCATCTGCTGTTGCTGTTGCTGCTGTTGCTGCTGCTGTTGCACCCGCCGCAGCTCCTGCCTGAGCGCCTCCCGCTCGTCTCTGAGCAGCTGAATATCTGCGACGACACGTTCCATCTCCTTCTTGTTCGCCTCGGCTGCTTCTTGGTACTTGGCGGTCTGCACGTGCGTCTTCTCGAGCTCCTTGGCCAATCTGCCCGCCTCGAGCTCCACCTGATCGCGAGCGACGATCGCCTTGTCGAGGCTGGCCCGTAGCCGTTCGACCTCGATGCTCGCGCTCTCCGATCTGGTCTTACCCTCGGTCTGCATCAGCCTCTCGAGCCGGATTATCTCGACGCGGAGCTTTTCGTTGTCCGCCTCCAGGGCGTCCGCTCTCGCCTTCACCTTGTCGTGACGGTCGCGTATCTTCTCGGTTTCGATTTTAGCCCGCTCGATCTCGCCGCGATTCCGTTCCTGCGCTGCGTTCGCCTTGGCCGCCTCCTCGCGCGCCCGCTCGAGCTGAAGCTGCGTCTCGTGCAGCTTCGCCTCGAGCTCGGCGTGGCTGGTCTGCGTCCTCTTCAGCTCCGACTCCCGGCCCTCCAGACGTTCCCGCAGCTTATCCACCTCCTGCTGTAGCCTACTACCCTCGCTCTGCCACTTCTCCTGCTCGTACTGGTATTTACCTCGCACCCCCTCCGCACGCTCCAGATCGGCGCGCAGCCTCGAGGCGTCCTGCTCGGCCTTCCTCGCTCGCTCGAGCTCCGCAAGCGCCTTCTCCAGCCGGTCGCGGAGCCGCTCCACCTCCAGCTTCGCGTATTCGTGCTCCTCCTTCTGCCGTTCTTGGCTTTCCTGGTACTTGCCGAACCTGGCCGCGTACCTCTCGCTCTCCTCGCGCGCGCTCTCCGCCTCGACGCGGAGCCGCTCCGACTCCGCCTGCGCTTTCCGCACTTCGGCCTGCTGACGGTCGTGCTTCTCGTACATTTTCTCGATCTCCAGCTGCATGCGCGCCAACTCCTCCTGCGTCTTTTCCGTCGCCACCTGCGTCTTGTTCAGCTGCGAGTGGGCCCGCTCCAGCTCGAAGCTGATCCTCTCGTTGTCCGCGACCAGCTTCTCCCGCTCGTTCTGCAACCGGCGCAGCTCGGTCTGCGACTTCTCGTAACGCTCCCGTACCATCTCCAGGTCCACCGTCAACCTGTCCAGATCGTCCTTCGACTTCTCCTCGTGCTCCTTCGTGCGGCCCAACTGTAGCGCCGCTCTGTCGTACAGCTCTTGCACGTGGGCCAGCTCGTCCTGGGCCTTGCGCGCCTCGTCCCGGCTCTTCGACGCAAGCATCTGCTGCTTCTCAGCCTCGAGCTCCAGCCTGTCCTTGTCCGCCTCCATCACCTCGATGCGGTTCTGCAGTCGGTACACTTCGCTCTGGGATCTGTTCAAATGTCATACGATTATCCTCCATAATTGATCGAATCGTCTATAAGAAACGCGAGAATATCTCCTCGTCGATATATCGACGAGTTCTCGTCGGACTACGGAAACATTGTTATGCGAAAGAAATGTTTTTTTTCCAACGGTCGGGCGACACGAGTTTTCTCAATCGTCCTCGCTAAAATCCGGAATGTCAGTCGATAATAGGAATTGTTAATAATAAAGAAGGTAATTTTACCTGTCGTACTTCTCACGCATCTCCTCGAACTCTTTGTTCGCGTTCTCCCGGTCCTCGTGCGCCTTGTTCATCGCGTACTGCGCTTTCTCCACTTTCTCCCTCAAAATTTGAATCTCGGTGACGGCGTCGTCCCGTTCGAGCTGTGCGGAGAAGAAAACGCAGCACCGCGTCGTTCGTTAGTTTATACGTTCAGGGCCGCGCGAGTCACGTATGCGTGATGCTAATTTTTTAATTTACGATTGTTCATATCGTAAAGATACATTCACGAGTTATTTGTTCAATTTATGTGTTACCTATGGCAAATGTTACAACGCTTGTTAAAAATATGCTATTAATAATATAAAATTTATTTTATATTAGTAAATTCTAATATATTAATAATATAACAATATATACATAGTTATTGTATTAGTTATATACATATGTTATTGTATTATTAGTAATATATTAGTAATTATTAGTTTAAAA